AGAATTCCATCATGGCCACTTTGAGATATTCTTAAGAATACACGTGCTTGCACATACTCTTGAATCACCACTTCCGGGTGTTTCTGTTGAGACAGACACTTACATTATATTATTTAATAAAACGTAGTAAGTTTTGACATGTGTGATTCTATCATATAGGTAGTATGAACCCTCAGCAAAAAAAATTCAGTATTTATCTCCAAAGGAGAAAACTTGAGTTTTGAGATGCACTGGATGATTTTTTTTAGTTCTAGTAATAGATTTTTAAAATGTGTGTGTTCTTTTGTGTGAGGTGCAAAGAGTGTTTAAAGATGGAAATCTGAAGATGTTCTCCTTTAATAGAAGAAGGAGTTGAGCCTTGCCCCCAACTTTGCCAAAGTCACACTTTTAACTTACCCGATCAATTTGATGAATTTATTTGGTAGCTTATTAGATTCAGTGTTACAGAATTGTATCATCTCTTTTGACACCGTAAAATGCTGGGGAATACTGCTTTAGGGAATTTGGACAAATCACTTAACCTTTCTTGGTTGTGTTCCCGTTTTCAGTAAACAGTGGGGCTAAGGTAGATCACTCATTACTCCTATGCCGTCTAGCTACAAAATGGGCATGGTTATTGAATGTGAAATTGGGAAGCAGCATTCCTTCTGCAGAATTCCACACTAACTGGCAATTCATCAGTTTCACTCTGCTCCTTTCGGTAAACTTCGGTTTATATGTTTTATTAAACACCACTTTTTTGATACCCCAGGATCCAAATGAAACAAGAATTATAAAAAGTAGGGGGGAAAGGATAGCTTTAGCACAGCAAGAAGAATGTTTCCTTTCTGTTACTGAAGCACCAAGGTGTGACATCTTCTAAATCTGGCTGTTTAATACAAAATCTTGGTGGTAAAGACAGAAGAGGACAAATTTTATGCCTTTGTCTTTCTTTTTCTCTGTCTCTGCCATTCACATGGGGAAGAGTGGATGTAAGAGCACAGCATTCAGAAAGTCCTTTTTGAAATTTTGGAAATTCTGTTTCTTTTCCTCAAACAGAAAGAAGCAGAATTTACAAACATTCCAATGACTTGAAATGATAAAAATTAAAATAAGCACAAAAATATTTTAATCAATTGAAATCAGGGCAAACTCTGAGTCAAATGATAAAGTGAATGATTAACAAAGTCTTTATAATGAATAAAGTAATAATTACCCTTCGTATCAAACTTTCCCTGAAGGTTGAAGTAGAAGAGAACAGAAGCAAAAGTGGTGAACTGAAAGGATCAGAAACCATATGTGATGGCAGTTATCATGAAGGATTAACTCAGCAGAGGAAGAGGGGAAAAACTGATGACCAGCAGTTTCCTGCTCTGCAGAAAGGAGATTCTGATAGGTAAGCCTATATCAGTGTTCAGCAGTAGGTAATTATTACTTTCCTAGATATTGTTCAGAATTTCTTCCCAGACTCATCTCTCTACTTGCTTCCATATATTTGATACTCTTCCTTCTAGGTTCCTAGGACACACCTAAATGCCATGTGCCTAATCTTTGTGCTCACATTCTAATCTCTTAAGTAGAATAATTTCCTCCTGTCTCTTTTGCTCATGACTTCCTGTCCATTTCCCCTCTTCCGTAAAGCCTTCCTCATGCTCACTTTACTTTCGTATGTCAGCTCTTGCATATCACATTGTATCATAATTGTATATCTGTCTTTGAAGCAGGAATTTGTGTTTCCTTGCATATGGTTGGCCCTTGTTAACCACTTTGTGAGTTAATAAATGATTGAAGATGGGTAAGAGTTGGAATTTTGCAAAAATTGTTTTTTTTTATCAGTAGAATTTTTTTTTTAATTGGCTTTTTTATGGATTGTTTTAAAGTAGGTGTCCTGGCTTGCATATGAAGGGAGTAAAGAAGAATGAAAGTGGAAAACGGACATTAAAAGCATCTGTGACTTCACGTGTATTTGCAAAGACCACCTCACTGGCTGGTGGTCTCCTACACGTGAATGACAACAGCAGTTTAAGTGAAGGAGATCAAGGTTGTGGCAGGTAAAACATACAAATTCTTTATTTCTAGCTGAAGACGTATTAGCAGTGATTACCTTCTCTGGAAATAGAACAGCAACATATAGTGCAAAGGCCAAGGCAAGAGAATTCTCAACTGTGTTGGAGGAACACTGCCGAAAGGCTAAGATGAGGACAAGTGCCTTTGACCTTAAGTAGTTTCAATAATACGTCCCCATGGAAGCCGGGCTGCAGTGAATCAGTGTGAACAGCCCCTCAGAGGACATTCCCTGGGGAGGCAGGAGAGGACTGCGTGATAACTGATGGGAAACGTGGGGCTCGTGGGGGTTCCCTTTCTTTGTTTAATGATGAGATGATAGTTTGTAGAGGATGTCTCTATGCTGTTGGATGCGATTCCATAGAAGACGTGTTTTTCAATTTAACTTTGTTTGGATTTCTGATATTAAAAAGTGTATTGATTGTAGTATGTTATCTTTAAAATATTGTAGTAAACTATTCATGTATGGTATTGTTGTAAGGGCTTATTCATTAGTTCTGAAGCGTAATATTCTTACACAATTGAATATGCAGATAATGACTTTAAAGTTACACCATTGTCCATAGGTTTTTTAAAAATTGTATACTCATAATAACTATACAAACACTTAGGCCATACTGAATAGGGTTTAATCATTCCTTGATGAGTCTAGATTTTATAGTGTCCTTGAAAGTATCATCACCAGTGGCTATGGTTTTGTATGCTATTGCAAAATACCAGATTACATTAACTTAATATTTGTTTAGATTCTAGGAAGAAGGGGAAGATTTTGTTTATATACAATAGAATAATAAGCTATTAACAATCTATCACAGATGATTACTTTTGGATTACTAAGTTCTAAATTAAAAAAGCCATCATGCTCCATAAGGACCTATGAAATGCATGAACAAACAGCTGAATGGATAATGAATGCCCGCTGATTAATGTCTTTAGCGAAAGCAAATCTTTATTAAAAGTAGATTTCCAGTATTGCCTAGGTCTAAAGTCTTTTTATTTTTAAAAAACAGGTGTTAAGATTCAAAAAGTATTATTATTTTAACTTTTTTTTTATTGAGTCATAGTCGTTTTGCAATGTTGTGTCAAGTTCCAGTGTAGAGCACAATTTTTCAGTTATACATGAACATACATATATTCATTGTCATATTTTTTTTTTTTGCTGTGAGCTACCGTAAGATCTTACATATATTTCCCTGTGCTGTATAGTATGATCTTCTTGTTTATCTATTCTACATTTTGAAATCCCAGTCTGTCTCTTCCCACCCTCCTCCCCCTTGGCAACCACAAGTTTGTATTCTATGTCTATAAGTCTGTTTCTGTTTTGTATTTATGCTTTGTTTTTTTGTTTTCGTTTTTGTTTTTGTTTTTTAGATTCCACATATGAGTGATCTCATATGGTTTTTTCTTTCTCTTTGTGGCTTACTTCACTTAGAATGGCATTCTCCAGGAGCATCCATGTTGCTGCAAATGGCGTTATGTTGTCAGTTTTTATGGCTGAATAGTATTCCATTGTATAAATACACCTACCACCTCTTCTTTATACAGTCATCTGTTGATGGACATTTAGGCTGTTTCCATGTCTTGGCTATTGTAAATAGTGCTGCTATGAACATTGGGGTGCAGGTGTCATTTTGAAGTAGGGTTCCTTCTGGACATATGCCCCAGAAATTATTACTTATAATTATACCTAGACATAGAATAATAATAGAGATTCATTTACTACATTAGTTAAAAATACTTAAAAATAAATATTATTTTCTTAGCGTACTGTGAAATGCAAGTATTGAAGCCAGATTGCCTGGGTTGGAATTCTGGGCAGACATAGAGGCTTCGACAAATGACTTATCCTTTCTGTGCCTCATTTTCTTCCTGGGTAAAGTACCTGATGTATTACCTACCTCCCAGGATTGTTGTGAGGATTAAAATGTCTTTAAGACATGTAAAGTGCTGGTAATGCACAGCAGTTGCACACTAAGTTCTCAAAAAAGCTGATGTCATGGTTATGAGAAAAGGGTTTCTTTCATATAAGGACTTAAGTAATACATTCCAAATAGGTTTTATTGCCATAAAAGCTAGTTTTTATTGAAAAAGACAACAAGAAAATCCTGGTACATTTTTTCCTATCAAATAATACAAGTAATTTTATGTTCTTCCTTTTCCTTTCCTTGTCTGCTTGATTTAAATTTAATACTTTGTTAATAATATAATTGATATGCTTTCTTTGTCCTTTAATGTTACTGTTTCCATTTTTTGTTTACTCCGTTTTATTGAAAATTAATTATCAACGCAAAGATTTTATATAAAAAATAATAGGTTTATATACGTCTTGTATCTTCAGTATTTAGTATTTGGCTTAAATGAATTGCTTGTTTCTTTTTTCAGGTCTTCAAAGAAAATGTCTACTAAAAAGGACAAGGTATAGTTAAATATTAATCATAAAAATATTTACTTAGTAAGAAAAATTTATAAGAGTGGGAAAACAGAAAATCCTCCTTTGTTGTAGAGACGTTTACTTAAAAATAATTTAGAAACATTATTGACAAAGTTAGCCTTTTGACAAAAATCAGTTCTTTCGAGAAGTGTCTTTTTTTTTTTTTTTTTTTTTGCTCGCTTAAAAAGATGGATATTTATCACCTCGGTACACTGAGCATATTTTATAACTATGTTGGAGACAGTGTGAAATAGCATTATTTATTTGTAGGTCAAAGAGCGGCTTAATTCTGTGGATGACCTCCATGACTTAACTCTGGCACCGGAAACAGCTTCTGAGGATCCCAAGTCGCTTTACCCTAACTGTAAGAATACCCTGAGGCTAATCGAACAAATTGGCCCGGAGAGTAAAGGTAGGACCCCCGTATGACTACACAGCCTTTTTAAGTTATCTGGCGGTAACCTGTGCACACCTAGTACTGCCCCAGGGAGCACGGATATGTTACAGTCCGCTGCGTCTCGGAAACGTGCTCTGTGTTAAAGCAGAAGCAGACGTGTTGTGCGCTGCCAGCCAGGGGCTGTGACCGTTCCCACCCCCTGTGCTTTCTGTTGATTCTGCTGCTCCTACGCCTTCACCCAAGGTCAAGGTATCACTACTTCCCTCCTAGAACGCTGAAATCACCTCAGGACTTTCTTCTCCGCCGTTCCACCTCCTGGAACCTTGGTCTACACCACAAGCATGATTACTAGATAGTTTTTAAAATTCAGGTCTTTGTTACCTCCTTGCCTAAAATCCAGCTCCTGCTTCTCGTAGCTCCATGGTTAAAGGCCACAGTCCTCTGGCTTCATTTTGTTTCCTTTTATTACTCTTCTTTCCACATGAATTTTAGAATCATCTTGTCAATGTAAAAAAAAAGCTGCTAATGTCCTGGAAATGAGATGTAGATTATGTTGAATCTGGAGATTAATTTGGGGAGGATTGACTTTTTAACAAAATGGAATTTTTAACCCCAAACAAAGTTCATTTCTCCATTTATATAGGTCTCCCTTGATTTTCTCAGTAATATTTTAAGAGTTTTTAGTGTCTGGGTCTTTCCATCTTTTATGTTTACCTGTATTTCTTATTTTTCAGTGCAGTTGTAAATAGTGTATTTTTATTTATTTGTCTATTTGTTTCAAAATACTATATTTTAAATTTTAGTTTCTGATGATAGAAATATAGCTGACTTCTGTATACTGACTCTGTGCCCTCCAACCTGGCTGAACACATTTATTAGTTCTAGTAGCCTTTTTATGGATTCTCTCAGATTTTCTATGTAACCAAAGGTGGTCAAGATTTTTCTTCTTTAAACTACTGTCTTACTAAAGATAGTTCACATTTAAGACTTGCAGCCAATAAATACATTCTCTGTCACAGCTAATCAGCTCTGTCACTGTTGCAACAAGAGTAGCCATAGACAGTGCACAAGTTAATGGGCGTGGCTGTATTTCAGTAACACTTTATTTACCAAAGCAAGCAACCCAGCCCACAGGTTGGAGTTAGCTGACTCGCACCATGTAATCATATTCCGCGCTGATTAGCAGACAGTTTTACCTCTTCATTTCCCATCTAGATGTCTTTTGGTCCTTTATTTTGCCTGATTGCACTGGCTCCAGTACAGTGCTGAATAGAAGGAGTAAGAGAAGCCATTCCTGTCCGGTTCCTCACCTTCTGGGAAAAGCATTCCGTTTTTCACCATTGCGTATGGTGTTAGCTGTAGGGTTAGCACGGACCTTTGTCATAGTGAAGACGTTCCCTTGGTTCCTAGTTTGCTGGAAGTTTTTATCAGGAATAGATGTTGAGGTTTGGCAAGTGCCTCTTTTTATCCGCTGACACGATCATATGGTTTCTTTTTTAGTTAATATGATGAATAACATTGATTTTTACGTGTTAACACAGCCCTGCATTCTTGGAATACACCTCACTTGGCCATGATGAATTATCCTGTATTGTTGGATTTAATTTGCTAATGTTTTGTTTAGAATTTTTACTTCCATTTTCATAACATTAGTTTTCTTTCTTGTAGTACCTTTGTCTGGTTTTGGATTCAGGGTAATGTTGGTTTTATAGAATGAGGACATAGTTCTTCCTCTTCGTTTTTCAAGGAGAATTTGTGTGGAATTGGTATTAAATTTTCGTAAAACATTTGGTAGAATTCAGCAGTGTAACCATTGGGACTGGAATTTTCTTTGTCGTAAGGTCTTTAAATAGGACTTTTGTTTTGGTTTTTAAGATATAGGGCTTTTTAGCTTATTTGTTCTTTCTTAATTGAGCTTTTGTAATTTCTCTCTTTCAAGGAATTTTACCCACTTCATCTGAATTGTCAAGTTTACTTGCATAATGTTCATAATATTACTTTGTCATTCTTTTAATATCTGCAGAGCTTAGAAGAATGTTTTCCACGTCATAGATGCTCAATATCCATTTGTTCAATGTGTGGATGAGTGAATGTGAAAATGCACAGTCCTTTATACACAAAAATTATTCATATATTTTGTTTCTATTTTTGTTTTCTTCCTAATGCAGATTCTGATAGGTTATTGAAAATTGAGGATCCAGTTCATTCATTCAGATCAATAGAACTGAAAGAATCTGACTGTGCACTACTTCGAGGAGAAATTAAAAAAAAGGAAAATAAGGTGAACTGGCTACAGACAGAGCTGTTGAAAACAAGAGAAGCAGAATCACAGTTAAAACTTCAAAATGTGAAGTGGGAACAAGAGCTCTGCAGCATGAGGTACTGAATTTCTTGATTTTAAAGAAGTACTTGAACTCCTTATATTTACTTTAATACTGTAGGTATGTAGGAGAAGTCTTACAATTGCTAACTTACCTTTTGGGATTTTACAGGGGAGAAAATTTCATTAATATTGTGGAATATGAGACTGTTGGAAATAACACAGCTATATATATCTCCTCATTCTATGTTTCTTTAAAAAAAGATCTTTGATCCTTATCTCTCAATTGTCCTCCAGAAAGTTTATATTACTTTACATTCCCACTTGCAGAATTATGAAGTGACCATTTTTCTCAAGGCAGAAACTTTAAAAAAAATTCATGCAGTTTGATTCTTAACATATGAATGGATGGACTAAAAAGTAAAATGGAAAGTGATTACTGGTTAGTTTCTTCAGCATCTCTCTCATGCAGAGATAAGATCAGTTCAAAGGTCTATGCTGAAAGCACGGATTACTCTTTATTTCTTACTTACTATGGATCCTGCCTTGTACCAAAAGGGATTTAAAAATGATTTACTACATAAGTAATATTCAACAAGGTAAGTTCAAAGTGTTGCAAAAGAAGAAACATAAAGTGTAGGGCATCAGCTAGTAGACTCCCCAGCCTCGCCTTGGATTATGCTAATTAGCGGATCTGTGTTCTGGAAAAGACTTCCGCGGATGTTACCTTTCGCTGGAGATCATGTAGGAGTCCCTGTAATAGCTCATGAAGTTGAAATTTTGTCTCTCATGAACTTATAAACTTGTTTCTAAATAGCAACTTCTCTTTTAACTAGTAACTAAATTCTCTGTCCTAATGGAGTAATTTGTGACTATGTGGGGAAAAAAGGGTAATTTTCAATTCATACCTTACTGAATAATTGCAAAATTTCTTTCCTACACTATTCACCAGAGTTACTCTTGACTGAAACTCAGTAGCATTATGTCTTTTCATTGCTACTTTTCAAATACATATATAGAGATCTCTCTTTATGAAGAGACTGAAGTGAGGAATTTAAAATGTGAGACTTAGATATGAAAAAAAATTGAGAACATAGAAATTCCATTAGGGTAATAAATCAGCATGTGAGGAACCAGATCATAAAATGAACTTTGTATTTTCTAACAGAATAAATTTTAAGGTAAGCATTTTTCACTGCAGATTCACATCAAAACAAGAAACAAAGAAGAAGAAAAATGCTTATATATTATATGGTAAAACTAAAGATGATTTAAAAAGAAAAGAGAAAGAATACGATGAGCAAGTTTCCGCGAACCAACAACTTGAAAGCACTGCCCGAGCACTAGAATGCAAACTGAAGAGCATAAGGAATAAACCAAATCAGGTAAGTTAGTCTTAGGTGAAAATTTCATATCTCTATCACTGTTTCATCAATATTACTTATTATCTTGTTTTGAATTAATCTATATTTTCATTTAAAACAAATAAAAGTTATCTCATCCTAAATATGAACTATGACATTTAGAGCTTAACTTGCTAATTTCTTGGTGTTCTTGGCATCTAAAGGATGCTCTGTGTCTTTTCTGAATGAAGGAATGGAAGTTAATTTGAGCTTAATCATTATCATAAGGATTGACGGTTTTGGTCCATTCAACAAAGTAACAAGTCTTAATTCAAGTCCATGTGTTAATTTTGGCTTTTTGAAGTTTAAATCCAGGCTAAATTGCCTTGAGACTGTGATGGAACTGGTTAAATGCCTTACAAAGAAATTTTTTTTCACTGGGATTTCAAAATTTGTAGATACTGACAGGCATATGCAGAACAGATAAACAAGACTATACTGTATAGCCCAGGGAAATATATGCAAGCTCTTGTGGTAGCTCACAACAAAAAAAAGTCACAATGAATATATATATGTTCATGTACAACTGAAAAATTGTGCTCTGCACTGGAATTTGACACAGCATTGTAAAATGACTATAACTCAATTTATATAGTGTTAAAAAAACTTTTTCTTTCACGATACTACATCCCTTGTGTTTTTGCTCTGTGATAAGTTTAGCTGTCATATATATTAGAGTTTGAGTTATGTATGTGCATTAAAGATCCCTGTGCTTGAAAAGGCTACTTGTTTTTAACAGTTTTAAAATTTTTTAAAAGATTCCCCTCCTAAGCTTTTTTGATTTTTTTCATGGTATAAAACCCAAAACCTAATGAAATATGTCTCCAGGTTTTAGAAGCGCGAAATGACGCTCAGAGACAACTTTCTCGAGAGCAGAATGCCAGAGTAATACAAGATGAAATCTCGGCCCATCATCTTTCTCAACAAAAGGAGGCAGAAAAGGCTAATAAAATGAATGCTGAGGTATTTTCTTTAGTCATTTTTAAACGTGTGTGTGTGAGTTTGTATATTTACATAGTGTAAAAACCAATACTATAGGTACAGAAAGTATAGAGGGTTTTAAAAGCCTATATATGTAAATATATTTTCTGGGGGTTTCACTTCTGGTCCATTGAATAAAACAATATTTTGAATTCAAATCCACTTGCCGGCAACAGTGACGTAGTGACATTCACAATGGCCTCATCCAAGGAGAGGCTGTTCATATTTTCCCTAAGAATTGATTAACTTTCCATCATCTCAAAACTGTTACTACTAACGGCAGGCATTCTAGTTTCTGGCAGTGATCTCACTCCTTTGATAGACGAATGGAGAGGTTACTTTATCATTTCCACTGATGGTAAGGAGGAAAAAGGCTAGCCAGTTCAGAAACCGAGGTTTGGGTGTCATTCTCCTACGTGTGATAAAAAGTAACGTTCTGCTTCATGTGGTAT